GGCAATGGCAAAGCCGACCCAGAAGACGAGCTGCACGAGTGGCCCTGTGCGAATCCGGACACGAGCGGGCCGAACAGCGGCCCGGCGACGGCGGCGCAGGTGAAGTAGGCCATGGCGCGGCCCCTCTCGCCCTGCTCCGGGTGGGGCGTCGGCCAGCAGGCCGCCGACGGTGGCGTTGGGGGCCGAGGCCACAAAGCCCGTCAGGAAGCGAAAGGCCAGCAGCAGGGCGAAGCGGTCGCTCAGGGCGCACGCCATGGTGCAGAGCATGTAGCCGGCGTAGGCGTACAGGATGACGGGCCGCCGGCCAATGTGCTCGCTCAGGGGCCCGAAGAGGAGGGGCCCGATGGCGTAGCCGAGCATGTAGAGCGAGTTGAGCCAGACGAGCGGCCCGCGGGCGATGGCGAGGTCGACCTGGATGGCGGTTGCGGCGTTGGACGGGAGCGAGGAGCCGAGATTGCTGTTCCACGTCACCCACATTGCTGTTGTTGTGATGAAGAGCTTCTTGCGCTGGAGACGGTCAGCTGTACTGACTTTCGTCCCGGGAGTGTCGTGCTGACCTTGGAGAACGGTATCCCGCTTGGCGGCACATTGGATGCCTGGCTCTGCGCCATCGTCAGGCGTGTAATGTGACTTCTGGCACCTCAACCGATCGATTGACTAGAGTAACTGAGTGGCAGGCCGAGACTGTTGTGAAGCTCGGGACGGGAATTGAGACCGCAGACGGCGGAGACCGATGTCGGCATTTCCCGCGATAAGGCGCGGTGAACACGCCTTTTGGTGGTGTGGGTTGGCGATATCCACTTGACTGCATTGCGCAGATCCATCGTGCAACTCGATGAGCACGGCATGCGGCGACTCATGGCAGTCGTGAGGCAAGCAAGATGCGCATGAGTTGTCGTCCTGCAGGTGATGTGCCTGGGGCTTTCTGTAACGCTGGTTGCGCAGGGAAAAGAAGATCTCGTCACCACCAGTAAGACAAGAGGGGGCTGGTTTCCCCAATGCTGCTGTTCACAATGTATCATCGCTCGATGAAATTCTACGTCACTCTATGATCGTTTGATATCGAGTCTGCCGGCCAATGGTGCTCAATCTCAGCAAATACCGTGAAGCTGCTCAGCACGCAGTCGAATGGCTTTGAAAATGTAAGAGGCTGGGCAGCGGCAAAGTGCTCCTGATCATGGTACTGCTTGGTGACAGAACCACCCTTTACAGAGTTATAACGAGCAACTATCCGTGCCAAAGAAACACCAAGGTTGAAACCAAAAATTTCTTATCTTGGAGCCTCAAGGGCCAGAAGAGGGCTGACAGAGAGACAGCCAGACACAAGTGGGCGTAGGCTGTAGATGTCAAGTCAACCACCGGCACATCATGGTTCCCTTCCCTGCTTTATAGGTCGATTGGAAAGCACAAGACACGTGAGATTCAGAGAGATTGGCAGTCTCTTCCTGGCAGTTGAAAGCCATCAGCTCCAAGACATTGAGTTTCGGAAACCAGCCACCGCAGGCAAGACAATACAACCAAATACCGAACTGTCTCTCCTAGTGATTAAGAATACCGACCCTGCTTAAAGCCTGTGCCCAGGCGTTCGGTATGCAGAGTATATGAACTAATTGATCAGGACGTAGCGGAATCGCGGCTTGCCGGCCTCAAAATCAATAATGGCCTGGTTCGCATCGGACATGGGCCGCTTCTCCACCCACGGCTTGACGTCCTTGTCGACGGCCAGCTGCAGCATCTCTCGGATCTCGCTGGGCGAGCCGATGCCGGAGCCGGCAATACGGCGTCGCGCCCCCGTGAGGACGCCGGGGCGAAACGGCAGCTCGCCCTCCGGAAGGCCGATCTGCACAAGCGTGCCGTCCAGCCTGAGGAGTCCGACGTATCCGGAAAAGGGCATCTACGGCTTGTTCAGCACTCGTCTACTTCCTGGTACAGTTTGCTCGGAGCGAGCGCAGAGCGACAAACCTTGGCGGAAGACACGGTGCAGATGATGAGATCCAGCCTGCGCGCGTTCTTGGTCTCCCAGCCTTCGTCGTCGGCGGTGGCAATGTAATCCGTGCAGCCGAGGTCGAGAGCCTCCTGCCTCTTGCTGGCCTTGCGCGAGATGCCGACAATCTCGTCGGCGCCGAGGGCCTTGGCGAAGAGCACGGCAAAGTGGCCGAGGCCGCCGACGCCGACGATGCCGACACGCTTCCCGGGGCCGGCGCCAAAGTGCTTGAGCGGCGAGTAGACGGTGACACCGCCGCAGAGCAGGGGCGCGGCAAACTCGGGGGCCAGGCCGTCGGGGATCTTGAAGACAAAGTGCGCGGGGCAGCGGTGGTAGCGGGCGTAGCCGCCCTGGGTCTTGTCGCCGTTGCGGAACTTGGAGCCGTAGGTCGGGGCATTTCTCGTGCAGTAGTTTTCGCTGCCGTCGGCGCACTCGGCGCAGTCGTAGTCGGGGTCGTTGTTGAGGCACGACTCGGACTGGGCGCCGACGCCGACGACGTCGCCGACCTGGATGCCGCCCTCGGCTTTGGAACCGACGCGGACGGCGACGCCAACAATTTCATGGCCCACGACGACGGGGTACGGGGCTTGCCTCTGCAGGTGGGCGAGAAATGGGTCAGTCCTACGGTTCCAGTGTTGGCGCTCGCATCGCCATCGAGTAGGCTTACCCATCCAGAGCGAAGGACGTGTATGTCGGAGCCACAGATGCCGCAGTGGGTGATCCGAATGTCGATATCTGTCTCTTCCCACTTCTTGGGGTCGTATTTTTCCCAGACCATGTTGCCCTCGGCAGAGGACTCATCCTCCCCCATCCATCCTTCGAATTGGTAGTCGGGGGCCATGGGTGCGGAGAGGAAAGGGGGGGGGGGGGGCTGATTTTGTTTAGCGTGCAGAACAAGCTGCTGGTATTAACAGCTCAAGTCTGCATCTTTTATTACGGCGGTTTGGGCGAGCCTCTGGGTTCGCAAGCATGTCGAGGCGAATCAGCTCGAGAATGGGGGCACCGAGAGCTAGCTCTGACGGAGAGACGTCATGACGAAGCGCAGCCGGCGTAGGGTAGCAGACCACTGCCTTGGTGACGCAAGCGTGCTTCGTTTCCGTGATGGGCTGGCTCGACGTGGCCGACGGTATTCGGAGCGGCATGGTACCATGGGATGAGTTTCCGTCGGAGGTGGACGGGCCTATCCACCCATGGTTTCCTTAGGCAGATTCCACACAAGATCGTGATGATTGGCATGGTGTACCTATATGGTAGGTAGAGCTCACAGCTTGGGCGGGGCTGCCGAGACAGGGAGGCAGGTTTCTTGCACCCGAAGGCACCGTGTCCCCCAAAGCCCGCTGCAGCGTAGCGCCCAGCCGGTGGATCGTAGCGCCTAGCCGATGGATCGTAGCCCTCGATCAAGCCCTGCGCCCTGGCCGTGGCCCTGAGCCCATTGGCCCGAAGAGCGTGAACCCCCCCCCCCCCCGGCTAGCAGCCTCTGGGTCTGCTCAACAGAAGCCAGATGCCGGGGCTAGCGTCGAAGCTTACCCTGGCAAAACCTGCCGTCCAAGAGTCAGAGACGAGACCATCGCGACTGGTTCCCTACGCCTTGTGCCAACTTGTTCCAACTTGTTCCAGGTCATGATCCGTCGGAACGGGACTAGATGGAGGTGCCGCAGATGCCGTGGCCGCCCTATCGTATCGCATCGTACCCATAGGGTAAGTAAGCCTTCACCGGCCGGAGAGCAGAAGACGACAACGACCCCGCAGTGCCGTCAACGTCACCCACCCACATGTCCCCCACAAAGAGTAAGCTCGGATGTTGTTCCCAGCGCGGTTTTGCTTCTGCTGGACAAAAGGGCATGAGGGTAAGTAGGTAGGCCAGGTTGGTATGTATATAAAGCTCTCTCTTAACCCTCCTGTTCCTCGCCATGATGCACGCAACTTGATACAGACAATCTGACCGCGAAGAGAGCAACTCGAACACCATTCCTCCCCCTCCCCCCTACCGCCCATCATGTCCAACGACCGCAAGCCCGTCGCCGACCAGGCCGAAGACGATACCTGGTTCCCCTCCCCATACTCGCTGACGCAGTACGTCGCCCCCAAGACGGACTTTGCCGAGGGCGACGCCGACTACGCGGCCACGGCCTACAAGGGCGGCAAGTGGAAGGTGCTCCTCATCGCGACGCAGGAGCGCTACCTCAAGATGGCCGACGGCTCATTCTTCTCGACGGGCAACCACCCGGTCGAGATGCTGCTGCCGATGCTGCACATGGACGCCGCCGGCTTCGACATTGACATTGCGACGCTGTCGGGCGAGCCGGTCAAGTTTGAGATGTGGGCGTTCCCCAAGGAGGACAAGGCCGTCAAGGCCATCTACGACAGTACCGCGACAAGATCCGCAACCCGCTCAACCTGCAGGAGGTCTGGGGCCAGGGCTTCACCGACGCGACGCCGTACCTCGCCGTCTTCATCCCCGGCGGCCACGGCGTGCTCAACGGCGTGCCCTTCTCGGCGACGGTCGGCGACGTGCTGCGCTGGGCCCACGCCCACGAGCGCTTCTTCGTGACGCTGTGCCACGGGCCCGCGAGCATGCTCGCCGCCGACGTCGGCAAGCCCGCCGGGTCCAAGTACATCTACGAGGGCTACAAGGTCGACGTGTTCCCCGACGCGCTCGACCAGGGCGCCAACATTGACATTGGCTACATCCCCGGCAAGATGGAGTGGCTCGTCGGCGAGCGCCTGCGCGCCCTCGGCGTCGAGCCCATCAACAGCCAGATCACGGGCGAGGTCCACCGCGACCGTCTGCTGCTGACGGGCGACTCGCCGCTGGCGTCGAACAACCTCGGCAAGCTGGCGGCCAAGACGCTGCTCGAGGCTGTGGCGAACAAGTAGGCAGCGGGATGCAAGAAAGGGATGATCGAGTTGGAAGAATAGATGAAAGAAAAAAGAACAAGCTTCACATGAGGACATTGTACTACTTCCTTCAGAATGGCCCTACGCGTGTCCCGCGTTGAACAGTATTCCCTGACCCTGACCCTGACCCTGACCCTGGCAAAGTGATGCTGAAGCTCTGCATCAAAGGAAGGGTAGCCACATGTCCCTATGTCCTGGATGTACTTGCCTGCCGGCCGTTCCCAACCTTCCAACGAAGCTCCAGTTGGAGCATCGAGAAGGAGCGGGGGACTGGGGGCAGCTCCTTCCCTGTTGGTGAGACGCTACTGGCATCGGGCATCCTTGCCCAGCGAAAGGTAGCGCCGAACCTTAACTGCGGGCCCCTCCTGCCCAGATGGCGCTAACCAGAGCCCGGCCGCCGTGACGCCAGCTGTGGGTGGGTGGATCAATCGAGCTCCCCATCCCTTGTCTCCCCAAGCTCTCCCCTCGATACCCTTCCGACGGAGCCTCCGATGGAACCCAACACTTTCCTGGCAAGGACGACGACCCTGGAGATGATCTCCCCTCGGAAGCGTCACAAAGTCTCATCGGCTTGCAAGAGGTGTCGCGAAAGGAAACTCGGCGTACGTTGGCCCTTCTCCTCCAGCCTTCAACATGCTGCGGACTGACCAAACCATCATCTCAGTGTGATGCCTACAGACCCTGTCAACTCTGTACCCGTGCTGGTGTCGAGTGCATCCCTCGTGCCGGAGCCATTGACGCACCCACAGCGGCAGGAAGCGATGTTGCACGGTCTCACAGTCGCCATGTTCTTCCACCCCAGCACGAGACCCCCTCGCCGGCTGTCCTCCCCGAATCTAACATTGTCGATCTCAGCACACTTGTATGGTAGTCATTTAATCATAGCAGATCGGGCATTGCTAAAAATCACGACCAGATCTTTCGAGGCAACGGACCCTCCGTGAACCACGACAGTTCTGCCCTGCCCGGCGGGAGCAAGCTGGACGAGGCTGCCGTGACCGCGGGTGCCAGACAGTGGCGAAACCTGGCCGGAGTGGCACTGCCCTCAGATGAAGTCCTCGAGGATCTCGTGGGGCACTTCTTCCTCTCCGTCGACTGGTTCATGATGGTCTTTCACGAAGATGCCTTTAGACGCCGCTTCCGAGACCTGCTGCGTCGGGACCAAATCGCCTACCGCGACAGCAACTTTCGCTGGCTGTGTCTCCTTGTCGTGGCACTAGGCGCCCATTATGCGGCCCCCCAAACTACCCACAGCCTCTATGGGCAGCTGTCCCGGGATCTTATAGCCGTCGTCGAGGCTCGCTTCCTCCAGATCCTCAATTGTTCCACGCTCGAGACTGTGCAGATATGCATCTTGCTTGGGAGCTTCTTCCTGTTCAATGAGAGACCAAATACGGGCCTCGGAATATCGGGGAGCGGCGTCAAGATCGCCCAGGTCATCGGTTTGCACCGTGAGAGTCTTTGGAAGGAGACATCCGATGTCGTGCGCGAGGAGCGACGACGGACATGGTGGACGCTGGAAGTGTTCGACAAGTACGCCTTTCTCTGCTGGGACTGTGCATCTGAAGCCAGGCATCGTCGACTTTCCCCATGTCCCCCCTTTCTGACACGGCACCAGGTATGCGGCTGTTTCCTTTGGTCGCCCCTGCATCATTGATGACTCGGATTGCGATGTTGGCATGGTGTCTCACAGGCCCCAGGAAGCAGAAAACCCTCTGCTTCTGTATCACACGTGGAAGTTCCGCCTGTACAGGATCATGGGCGCATTCCTGGGGCGGCGGGGACGGAGCAAGAGCCTCAACACGGTCCAGAGTATTCACACCAAGATGCTGCAGTGGCGCAATGAGCTGCCACAAGAGCTTCGATTGGCAAGCTACGCAGCTCAAGATGAACAGCCTTCGTTAACTCAGTTGCAGGCGCTCAATCTGCAGCTGACGTATGATAACCTACAAATTATACTACATCGCACGGCCGCCTTTGAGAACGATGGGCAGATGAACGAGCTGAGGATGACAGAAGGAGGAAGCACATCTCTTCAGCAGCTGTTGGACTCAGCCATGAATACCTCTGAGCTCTATCGGTACTCGTCTGCCCTGCAGGCATCCGGACGCACCCACGCCGCCATGCACATTGGCATCACCCTCTTTACCGCCGGCGTCGTCCTCTGCGCCATCTGCCTGTCCCGTCCGCTGACAGATACGGGCAATCGGGCCAAGACTGGCGTCATGCACATCATACGCATGTGTCGTAGCGCTGCGGACTCGCCAACCTCCAGCCAGCATCTGGTCTCCAGACAGAGCCTCGACATCCTGGACAGTCTGGTCACGGTAGTTTTACGTCGTGAAACGGAGCTCATCACGGGGAGAATCAGTCTTCCTGCGAACAAGCCAACCTCTTTTGCTTCCACCCTAGGGACAGGATCCGCGACTGCGCCAGTCAATTCAAACCCACATTCGATTCCAGACCGAGGCGAAGGCTTGCTCCACCCTATTCAAGAAGGTGAGACCAAGTCAAGCACTGATGATGCATTGAAGCTGATAGTCGTCAAGTCTTTACGCAACATATCTCTGGACCAGCGAGCCGTCCTCCTTCGCCTGTCCCCGCCCTGCAACAGCTCAGCTTCTCGACGGGAGCGCCTGTTCTCAATGGTCCTGCCCAGCCGGTCACAACGTTTGACTGGGATGGCGATCTTTCGGTCTTGGTGGATCAGGGGCTTGCTGATGCGAGTCAAGTCTGGCTGTGGGCAGATAACCTGGGCTACGAGACGTTTAATGATCAAAATAATAGATAGGCGGAGGGCACAGATTCATACGAACAGTCTTGTGCAGTGATTCTGTTCCGACATGAGATAAGCATTTGAAGATGTGCCGAACTTGTGTATCAGAGTGCTGACCTCCTCCATTTCACGTCGAAACAAAAAGATCTATCTTACAAAGTGTTGATATGGCATATATTCCGGGTCAGTCCGAGCAAATGAGTTAGTTGAGGTCAAATTTCTCAGTATGAGTTAAGTTTCGAGCCCTCCATTGCAGAGGACCATCAAAGGACGACACTAATTCCTCGAGGCAACAACAGCAAGTAAAAATGCCCCGCGTACAGATCACACGCTTGGATCAGAAGTTATGATCAACACCAACTATTATTTCACCGAACCGTCTATCTAAGCACCAGAGAGCTCTATACTCTGAGGGCCCTAGTCTTTAAGTCACACAACCAATACTGTCTCGCCAAGAAATGAAGTTTTTGTGTCCAGATGCAACCGTCGCCGGTTTGCTGAATGTGCCGATTGTACTGATACAATGTACCGCTTAGCCGATGACGGCAGTGCAGAGGAGGCTCTGGCCGGCGACGGGGACGCTGCAGCAGAGAGCAGACTTGCCGGCCTCGGCGCAGATGGCCTTGAGATCGGCGCCGTCGGAGGGAGTGCGGCTGGCTGTCGTGGGGGAGAAGATGGGAGGTTAGCGCGTTATATTCGTAAAGAGATCCGCGTGGCGGCAGCCTCTGCGGCGACAGAGGCCGGCGAGGATCAAGTGTCACACTTACGGACGGAGCAGTCCAGGCTGGCGACGCCGAGGACGTCAGTAGCGCAGCACTGGGGGCTGCCGTTGAGGAGGCCCGAAGGGCAGACGCTGGCGCGGGCGGCGAGGGTGGCGGGGGCGGCCATGGCGACCGAGGCGAAGAGAGCGGCGACGATGGTGAACTGCATTTTGAAGGTGGTTGGGTTGGGTTGGTTGTGGTGGTGTAGAGGTTGGTAAGGAAGGTCTGTTGAGTGTTGAGTGAAGGAATGTGAGCTGATGATGAGAATCGAAACCCAAACTGAGCTCGATTGTCGGCTTCTTATATACTCAATCGTCACGGCCAGGAGGCACACTCTCAACCTCCTCAAGGGAGGTTGCTAGATTATTGAGACAGCGAGCAAGACCTTTTGCTATGTCTCGGCTTGGAAGTTGAGAAATATTGCTTTTCGTCATGGACAGGATGGTGGGCCAAACTCTTCTCCCTGCTCAAGGAGACGCTGGGCAAGACACCCAGCAATTTTTTGCCGCCTGTCCTCAGACTATGCCTCTCTCATTGATACTATCAAGGCCATGACTATCATTCATCTTGTAGCAGCACTTCGGTATCGAGTATAACCTGGATGCTTCGTGTTCCTACCGACTCGAATGTAACAAACCTAGGGAAACGTCCTGATCCCACCAGCACAACACAAGCTTGGCAACCGCGGCCCTACCACAGACACACTCTGATAAAGTCGGGAAAAGAACCGTGACAAGAAATCACAACATCACACACGTCCGTTGGCAACATTGCTGAATCGCGTGTTGGTCGTCGCGGCCTTCGCCCCCCGCTGGTCTCGGCCGGCCCCTTAAATGGGGGTCCCGGGCTGAGACAGCCTGACAGAGCGACGCCAGACAACGGAGGCGACAGCGTCCCAATGCGGTCTCCCATCTAGCCGATCTCAAGAGTCGGTTCGCTGAAAAAGGAGAGCCCCCCCCCCTCCTCCCTGGTTCACATCATTCAATCTTACCCGCAGCCCGCCCTAGCCGCTTTAGATCGCTCGTCCTCAATGTCTCTTGCTCGAACCCGGCCACCGCTTGGTGCATGAGAGCCGCCGCGATCGTCTCCACATCAATGTTCGGAATCACAGCCGTGACGCTGAGCGCTGCCGCGGCGGCCGAGCTCACGGCGGTGGAGTAGCTGGTGATGAAACCAGGTTTGGCGACGCAGGCCTCGAAGCCTTCGTGTTGGTCCGCGAACCGCAGCACTTGGTTCTCGGTCTCACCCTGCCAAGGGATGTCGTCAGCACAGGACTCTTGGGAATTGGATCGGCAGACGACGCTCCAGGGACGCTTCATGGGTGAGATCGACATGCCCTCATCCGACGGTACTCTGCCATGACCCAGAGCGGCTTGGACTGGTTTCTTTCGGCGACCGCTCCGCTCATGTAGAGGAACCGAAAAGGCCGCGCAGGCTCGGAACTCCAGATCGCCTGCAAGCCCGCCAAGGTGTACTCGTGGCATACTTTCCGGACGTCCCCAGAGCTCATTCCTTTGGTCTTCGCCGGCGTCACCGCAACGGTCCTGTAGCAGCGCGAAGGAGCCGGTCAGCAACGAGGCATAAGTTCGAGATCTGGAAGGGGGAGACCACCGCATCTCCTGGGCATCTCGTGAACTCACCAGATGCACGCATTTGCGCCCGAAAACGCCTCCAAAGCGTCCTCTGGGTAGTCATCGTAGTTTGGCACCACCACCGACCTGAACTTCGATGCAGGTGTGCCATCGGGCACTGACACAGGCCTGCGAGCCACGGCGACAACTGTGGCGATCTTGGGATTCTGAAGACATTGGCGAATGATCTCAGAGCCGACAAAGCCACTGGCACCGGTCACGATGATCTTCATCGTCGTTGAACTGCCTTGAGTGCGGCGAACTGTCCTGCTTATTCTGCGCGAGTCCGGCGGCGGTGAGCGAGGGGAAAGATGATCATGTTCGCGGCAAGTAAGCACTACCTCAGGCCGCAATGCTTTGTTTGAGGTGTGTTACATCTCGGACTTAAGGAGATAGGTTGGATGCCACGTTACGGTCATGCTCGACAGCTTCAGCGGGCTTTAGGCTAATGTTAAGAATAATTCGATAGCCAAAATCCTTCGTCGGAACAGGCACGGTCTACGCACATGGTTCCCTGGCCGAGACCCTGGGTGGCTCTGCTGGCTACAAAACGGGCCAACACCTTATGGTTAGGAATATTGCGATGAAGTATTCCAGCTATCGAGGCTCATATATGAATCGAAGGCGAGATATCAAAATCGCGCCTGGGTCAAAGTGCTGGAACCTGCTCTACCCTACTAGACACACCTCCAGCTTTCAGGCTTCTTGTAATCGCCACCTTTGAATGTCTGCTGCCTGGGCCAGGCGCAGTGGTCGCGCTGGAAGTCAACACCCTTGGCCGGCGCATCATCCACAAACTTGGTCCCTCGTAGCACCTCGGGCGCCCGGCCCTCTTCCACCCAGGCGACCGCCGCCGCCAGCACATTGCTCTCGGCGTTGAAACCGATACCCGCCGCGGCAGCGTTGCCGCCCTGGCCGAGGACCCAGGCTCCCGGCCCCGTGTTGCAGTGGAACATCCCCGAGATGGGAAAGTACCGGTGGTAATCGCCCAGCCGGCCGTCGCCGCGGGCCATGCGCTCGACGAAGCGCTCGGTGTTGAACTGTGTGAGCTGCTGGTCCTGGCCGCCGTGGTACGTGATGAGCTTGCCGCCGCGGGCCCTGAAGCCGGGGAGGGTGCGGGGATAGGTTCGGATGTTGAATGGGTTCATGGTCTCGGCCGTGCGGACGAGATCCGAGGTGTAGTCTTCGGGTTGCCAAGCGGGGTCGCTGAGGACCACGTAGCGAAACCATTCCTGAATTTTTTTTTAAGTTAATCGAGCACGCGTTCAAGTGCCACCACCATAAGGGCAATCAGAGTCGGAGGGGGACGTACAACTGAGTTGGTGAATGGCAGGCCAGATAAGAGTCGATCTACGGCTCTCTTCTCCGCTCCCGGATTCAGGCGTGGGAAAATGGGCTCTCCATCGGGGAACTCATACGGTGCGTAGATCTTCTCGAGCTGCTGGACTTGAGCTTTGTTCAGACACCCCTGGACCTCTGACGCTTTGCACAACAGCGCCTGCGGGTCAAAGTGGCATTTATTTGGGACCTCAATAATGCCATCCGCGACGCCGTCGATCTCATCACATTGTCGGAGGACCTCATCATGGATGAGACCTGTCCATGTATCGGCAGAGATGAAATCCTGGGAGCCGACGGCGCCAGTCACGGTGTAGAAAAAGGCTCGCGCGCCTTGGAGTTTGTTAAAGTCAACGGTCGGCGCACCGGCGACGATGCCATCGTAGTCCTCGGGAAAGAACTCTGCAGCTTTGATACCCATGCGGCCGCCCAGGGAGCATCCGATGAAGTACGAATGGTCAGGTTTCTTGTCGTACAAAGCCTTTATGATTTTCTTGGCAGATTTGGTGCCAGTATGAAGCCTGGGGCTCGTCAATACCGGGAGAAGCCCAATGAAGACAAGATACTCACGCTCGATAAGAAAAGTCCTCAATAATATCGGGATTGTGCAGCATCGTCACGGCGGTTGTGCCATTATGTCCGTTGTTAGTCCCCATGGTTGCAAAACCGTTAGCGGCGCCGTACGCCAGGTCTTCATACTTGATGCCTGGCGTCTCGTCAGTCCGTCGTGATAGATCGTGAATTGGGGAGAGTAGGTTTTAGTACAGCCGTCAACACCACCGTTTCCCGTCGCAAGATACCGCGCGCCCTTCCATTCTCTGGGGAGCCACAGCTCAAAGCTGATGCTCGAGCGCTTAGAGGTCGGAATCTGGAGACCGACGCGGCAAAGATCGACCTCGACTTTTTGCGCAGGACGATTGCAAGACGGGACATTGTCATTGAGGGATACGGTCGTGCCCTGAGCTACGAACTCGAGTCTCGCCAGGGTCGAGTTCCTGATGAGCGCTGCAGGGTTCAGCGACAAGCAGTCCTGTCGAAAGACGTCATCACCCTCGTTTTCGCATTCCACCACGCGTGCAATGGTCGCGAGAGCCCAGATGAGGAGGGGACTAAACAACATGATGCGCTGCTGTCGTAGATGTTTGTTTTGGCTGCGTCGCTGAAGCCCTGAGGCCGGTACGCGATTGCTGGCAGAGATCATGACCCTGCCGAGAAGCGGAAGGATCTCGTCTCATTTAATCATGTCGGTCTCATAGCGTGCGGGGGGCGGTGTAAGTCTGTACTGTAGATCGCTTCCACCAGGGAACGAGTCGGCATCGAGTCGGCAGTGAGACCCCGCATTCAAACGTCCAATTAAAGTCAGTAGATAGAGCCCAAGTGTCGTGGATTTTCGCGGTCAACTTTGATCCATATTGCAAGATGCCGGAGGCTCCGAAAGCACCTTGTCCCTAGCGACTTGGCCCCTGTTCGTCATGGATCAGGAATGACCTCAATGGCAGTTCATGAAATCCAGAAGCACGCTGCCCAACAGGTCGGGCAGACTTGTCGGCCGTCGAGGCCACCATTTGCTGGTACTCGAATATCATCATCTGCTAGCAGAGACTGGCGTCACCTGTCTCGTACGGAACGATGAAAAGCTGCATGCCTTCTGGCATCAGGTGTGGAGGGAGGTCTTCATGCTCCTCAGAACTATAGCACCCAAGATTGCATCCCGTGAGCTCCGTATTCGGGACCCTCGAGTGGTCATTGCAATAAGATGAGCTGGTCGACGCCCCTGCATAGCAACAGGGCCAAGCAACGAGATCAGTCGCCAATCGAAAAGACTTTCACCGTATTTTTTGCAGCCCGAAGCAATGTCAACCACCTCCCATCTCTCGAGAGCCTACACGTATCCTCCGAGCCGATAGTAATCACCATCGTGTCAGAAGAGGCATGAGCCCAGGGTTTCCGTGTCGCCCCGATGCCACGCCAGTCTCGGCAGCACGAATCGCGTCAAGGTCACCGTCTGCCCCGGTGGCAGGAATGTCTTTGTCCGCTCGAGCCTCGCCCAAGCTGCCGAAACTTCGTCAAAGGCCAGCTCCGCCCCATATGGCCGCAGCATGCCCGACTGCCAACTCTGGAAAAAGGTCCGCTCGACAGAGACGAGTGCCGCATCCTCGCCTGTCATGGCATTCATAATGCGCGTCTTGCACGTGATGTCGACTGTTGCTGTGGAAGAGACCAACCAAGTTGTGGCATTTAAGTAATGAAAACAAAATGTAACATCCAAAGGGTCTTCACTCAAGGGGTTCCATGAGACCAAGGAGCTCGGGAACCGAAAGTCGCGAATGAGGTCATTGCTAATACAGCTATAGATGCGTATCAATATTGGAAAGGTCGATTCCGCCGACGAATTGGCGTTTCGGGAGACACGTTCCTCGCAGACAATGATGTGCTCGTCATCCGGTGTGAAGCTCAGGGTAATGGCGGCTTCACGCTGGATTTTGGCCATGGGCACCAGGTTGTGAGGGTAGAGTGTAGGGTAGCCAATAGAGCTAGCGCTCTTGTTGTTGGCAGCGTCAATGTGAACGACCTTGATATAACTCGGACTGGAAGGTTCAAGGTCCATTGTAGAAGCGCCACCTTGGTGTTGTCGTTGGACACATGAGACACGATGCCGTCCCTGTCTGACATGGCTCTCTTATTGACGATGCCTCTGTCGTTTGCGTCAAGTATTAAAAGCGCTGGGGCATAGTGAGCGAGGCAGATATGTGCGCATATCAGGCTGCCGTCCGGGGAAGGCCGCATGAAATGATTCAACTCGACAGCAGTCTCATTCGGATTGAGAAGCTGTGGGAAACTTCCGTGAAGAATCCAGATACGTGAGTCCGACGCCAGATCCTATATGTCAAGCGTGGTCTTTGTCGTCATTACCAGTCTCTCTCCGAAAATGCTCTCGTAGCAGCGAGTTGCCAGGACGCCCCCTGGTTGAAATTTAATCGGTGCCAACGATATACTTGTAACCTTTGTGAGGTTGAGACCACGCCGACTCGGCCCCGCCTCGAAGGTGCCTGGCCTTCTGCTCTGTCTTGGTCTTTTCACTTCGGGGAGGACATCGTCGCTCTTTTTTTCCTCTCTGAGGCTTCTCATCTTTGAAGGGATAAATGCCGCTCTGTGTTCCTATAACTGACTGTGGTGGATGTATCTGTATGGCCTCGGTATAGGATGGCGAATATTTTGGCAAGAGGTCGTTGGGAACCGCCACTACGGGTGCTGTGATGAGAAGACCTCGCATCCGAGCCACATTCAATAATACCTCCATCTTATTCACCCCTCCAGAACCAGACCCGTCACTGGTGCGCGGGGGGCCCCTTAGCGCCCAATAGATGTGGGGAAGACCTATACGGCATCAGTCGTAACAAAGTTGCTTAGAAATTGTGTCCAAATACAGCGTGCATATATCCAAGACGATGTCGAGTTCGCCTTGGCAGACTTTCAATGATTGCAGAACCTCCGATTACGATGGATCAAACATGCCATATCGGCGTTGCGTCAGCTCGAGAAGGCCTTGCTCGCTGGTGAGCAGAGTAGTTCTCGTCTTATCGACGATGAGAGCTGGTAAGCTCAGGGGACCATCCAGCCCCAGGCAGCGTATAGTATCCTGGTCTCCTAATCGACTGACGGTCGCGCGCAGTGCGCTGAGCAACTCAGATATTTGGCTTCGGTCAACTCTCTGGGAGTCATTGGAGTGTACAGGCTCCTAAGCTGGATACCCAAGGCATACCTATTGGCACCACTCCACAGCGCGAGGCTCTCGTGGGTACGTTGGTGGCGGAGCCCTTCCTGGCCAGCTTCAAGATGCCGACGTTGCCGTTTGATCGTCCACCCGTCCCTCACCAATATAACTTTAAGATCTTCTTTTAATCCTCGAGTTCAGACTGGCTGGCCCCCAGCCCGACCTGTGCCCCATAGCCGTATCCATACTCCTCCCAGCGCCGGCGCCAGCGCCCCCTCCAAGACCCGCCAAAGTTTAATGATCCCCAGGATGAGGCTTCACTGAAGAACATCATGGCGGTCGAGGATCTCACAGTCCAACCGGCACCAATCGCGTCGAATCATAGGCACGACCGGTAGCCGTTGCTAGCGCCGAAGAAGCAGTATCTCACCATGTAATGACTCGCTGTTGTTTGAACGACGAAAAGAAAGTCAGTCTGTCTGGCGTCCACAAACGCACGCTACGGGAAAGAACACACCTGAGGCTTTCCCACTTTGATCCTGCATGATGTCGAGGATGTATGCATTCAAGCTAGGGAACGTCGTGGTCTGACACACCCCCTGACCGAATAGGCAAACGACGGGCAACGCGATACCGCCCCAGCCCTCCTGAACCGCCCAGCCGTAGAGGAGTGTGAAACCCGGTAAGAGTCCGAGCATGAAAAAGAGCGTGCTGCGTAGACGGTCCTCCCACAGCCGGAAGCCGCGTCGATGCATCCACGACTTGACATTATGATCGGACCAGCGGCCGCCGAGTGTTGTGCCTACTAGATAGCCCGCCCCCGGGGCCAAGTAGATCAGACCCGACTGTAGGGGCGTCGTAAGTCCGAGCCTGGGGTTAAGGATGTAACGGATCGGGGTCAAGAGGGAGTACATGTTGAACCCAATGGCCGAAGATGCGAAGACCTAGATGCGTTGGCCGTCAACCTACTTGTTCTTTTGGGTTTGGCTCTCAATAACACTGCCTTCCCAATCAAGCACAAAACTTACCGCACAAAAGAGGTTTCCATGACCAAGAAGCTTAAATACGGTCGAGGGATTGGACCATTGCCACAACTTCTTCGCTGCGGCACCAGGCTTTTGCCCCTTGAGCTCTGCGTGCCGCGTTTGCAACAGGGTTTCCTGCAGCATAAACGCTACAAGCAGAAAGGCCACGCCGCTTAGACCAGATTGCACCCAAAAGATAACGCGCCATGAAGTGAAAGTAACGATGATGCCACCGAGGATGGGGCCAAAGGCGGGACCAAAGGCGACCCCTCGGAGGAACCATCCCATGGCTGTCGCGCGTTCCGTCTATGTTCGATCAGATGCATGTCATCAAAAACTGTGCGTCGCTCAACTGACCGGATGGAAAACATCAGAGATGCAGCTCGATGCAAGCACGAGGAACGCCGTAGATTGCGCGGCCGTCAATGACCTGAAGAAGAAGAAGGCAGGCAGACTCGGCGACAGTGCCGTACCAATCGAAGAGGCGAAGAACAGCAGGGTACTCAGAATGTAAGCCTGGCAGTGTTAGCCGCCTGTTTAGAACCAGTCTTCTGCATAGCTCAACCCTACGCACCGTTCTTCGCCCAAAGACGTCCGACAACGGCCCCCAGAAACAGGCGGCCAACCCCATGACGACGAGATAGATGGCATTGCTGATGTTGATGGCTGTTGGTGTCGTGCCGAAAGTAGACGTGATCTCTGGAACAGCAGCAAAGACGCTGGTCGTGGACATGGAAGCTAAAAGCCCGCCAATAGCAGTGGTGTAAGTCGTCGAGCGTTTCTGTGTTTTGCTGAAGCGGGAGTAGACCGACGGGAAAGTCCGACTTGCCACGGTGTCTGGCCTGGCAAGCGACAGCCTTTGACCGCCCGTTGATGTATTCCGCGCCTCTAGGGACACGGTAGACACCGTTTGGGTTGTGGACGTTATTGTTGCCATGGTTGAAAAGTCTTCAAAATTATGGTTAATGGTTCAAAATCAGGCAAGAGAGATTGGTAGTGTATGTTGCCATTTCGATACTCCAATTTGACCTCCGATTCGGACGTGATAATACGGCGAAAGCCGCTTTCGCCGACGCAGACCCACGTTGTGGGTGAGCTAACTCATTCTCGCGGGGTTTGGTTCCTGTTCCGGCAATCATAGCCTAAGCTGCAACTCGGCTGCAGAGTTGGGAGAAGACCCGGGCGGTCGATCACAACACTGGTGAGTGGGGAAATAAAGTTTTAAGTTCCCGGTTTGCTGGTAAGTCGCTGTACGTTTAAGGTGCCGGTGCCTCGAAAGCTTGTTAGAAATTCTTCCAGTGATGCATCATTCGAACGTTGTACTATCTGTGTGCCTTGACAATATGCCAAGGAACCACAATTAGACACGATGGGTGTAGAAATGCTCGTTTGCTGTGTTGGGTGCACGAAGGCTGGTCCCTCCCGGAGGGACATGCTGACAAACACAGATCACTGAATCCTTCTTTGAGGGAATCCAATAGCTACGCTGACATGGCTTTGATCCCAGGCTGAAACGGGCGCGCAGTCGCGCAGTCGCGAGAGGTAATTTGATTCGACCTACGATCGTGAGTAGATGATCAGCACTAACAGAACATGCTCCACTTTGAACAAATCTATCCTCTACATCAGCGCACCAGGCTTGGCGGCAGCCTTGTGCATAGACTCCGATTGCCCAGAACTCTGTTCGACAAATCATCGCCGTGGGGTTGTCGGCGATGGTTGCTAGAGCAGGGGTCATCTGCGCAGGATTCAGGAGGAGCTGCACCTCCACACCATGTGCAATGCTGCTTACCAACATGGACAACGAGGAAATCTTGGCTGTCTGGACAACAGCCGTGACTATAAATGGAGATCGTCGACCGTTCCTGAAGATGAATTGGCTGAAGAAAGCCATCAAAGAACGTCTGTCAAACGCCATCCTCTCATTATTACCATGTCAACAACGTATCTCATCACAGGCACAACCCGCGGTATTGGCCATGCCATAGTCCGCGCCCTCCTTCTGCGCCCCTCGACGACTGTCATCGCTGGCGTCCGTGATCCGGCCCATGCGGCGGCGCAGGCCCTCACGTTGCTCCCCAGATGCGACTCGTCAAGACTGGTTGTCCTGGCCCTCGACGCTGCCGACCTCGCAGCGCCCTTCCAAGCCGTAGCAACGCTGCAGTCCGAGCACGGCATCAAGGTACTTGACGTGGTCATTGCCAATGCTGCGGCCGGTGAATCAGGCAACACCATTCTGCAGACGGACCTCGAGTCTGTGGGCCACCACGTCGCGATCAACACGACGGCACCGTTGGCTCTGTTGCAGGCCACGGCGCCGCTCCTCCGAAAGTCGGCAAACCCCAAGTTCATCGGCATCGGCTCAGAGCTGGGCTCGGTCGCCAGAATTGAGGGCATGGTGGCGTCGCCGTGGCCTCGCACGACGAGCCCCTACGGCCTCACCAAGGCAGCGCTCAACTGGGTCGTGCGAACGGCGCACTTTGAAGAGCCCTGGCTCACAGCGGTCGTGGTGACACCGGGCCTGGTCAAGACGGACATGGCAGCGGTTGCGGTCAAGGACAGCGGCATAGGTCTCGATGCGCTGGGCGCTATCACGACGGAAGAGAGTGCCGAGGGGGTGTTGAAGGCGGTAGACCGGGCGTCGAGGGATGGGCCAGGGTTTTTGAAGTATGACGGAGGGGAGGTGCCGTGGTAGATCAGCCATGGGCACAATGGTGAGGGCGGGTTGGGTTGCTGATGATGATGCTTATGATCGTGATGCTGGGGGAAGGCGGAGGGACATGGAGAAACCTGGTCATCGAGGTGATGAAGGACAAAGACGAACAGATAAAGAGGGGTTCACGGCGAGAAGGCAGGAAGCCCCGGGCCCGGGTGGGGCCGACTTGCCCGGCGCGTGGCTTTGGTGGTGGATTCAGTGGATTCGGAGGAATGAAGCCAGGGAGCTGGTGCCGGGGTTGTTCTTGCAGCTGCAGACAATGACGCACATTCCTGCCCCACCTCACGTGCGCAACACAACGGGCTCCTCAGCTGACTCATCCGGAGCGTCTCCTCCAGAATGCAGATGCCCTATGTCATGCTGTAAGCTCACCTGCCTCCGCTGTAAGCTTAGGCAGTTGCCTACCTACCCACTTAGTAGCTTGCCTACGTATTTTACCTAGGCAGGTACCGCACTCGCTGTAGTTCCCTCGGCCTTGCCTCTACTCTGACCCTCCCTGTCGATGAGGCCTTGCGAGGCCTTCCCTGTTCGTGTGTTCGTGATCTTAACACGGACTGGCATGCGTCCCGTTCTCGATCCCAGAACGCATGGTCTCATTTCAAAATAAATGCACACAACATCAAAGCCATCAGCGACTGAGCCAGTCAGCACAACCCCGCGTTTTCAGTCTTTTCCGCCCGCCCGTCGTCGTCGTCGTCGTCGTCTGGCCTGACACCAACACTAGGCCATGGGAAGATACATCAACAATCTCTCAATCGATCACCTGCTTCGTGTCCCCCGACAGCCGACCAACCACTGCGCCGTGGGCCTGACGAGCTAAACAGACGGAATACACGATCTGCCAGGGCCTCAGCGATCCCCTGGTCAGACATTCTCAGCCCACGCGCCAGCATTCGGCGCCTTGCCTGACCCTCGCTTAAGCCTCTTGGCCACCTCCTGTCAATCCTCCCAGGCTCAGCTGGCAACTCTCTTTTGTCCATCTTGTTTTCCTCCTTCCGCTCTCCTCACCCCGGAGACTGACCGCCTGGTGACTTGCCACGCGCCAACCGAGACGGCGATCAAGCCGATTCTCGAAGCATAGGGTCTTTCCTGTGTTGGCAGTCAAAATCGCATCTGCAGCGCATGCCCTTTTTGTTTTGGTTCTCCTTCCCCTTCCCATTCTCTGCCGGCTAGACCCTCTCTTTCTCTGTTGTGTTCTTTGTTGTCGACCCCAAAAGACGCCCGCTCTTCACGCCTAGCAAATCCCTGGCCGTGGCAGCAAAAAAAACACCGAAGATTGATTTCGTCTCCATTGAATCCACTCATCGCAACATTCGTGTGGCTCTGCAAGGAACACCGACCGGAGTATCCGCAACCTCTCGAGCAATCAAGCCGACACCTTCCCCATCGATTCGGTCGCTCGCCAGTTGACATCGCACCCACCCACCATGTCCTCCCTTGAGGCCAAGATCGTCGTCCTCGGCTCCCAAGGCGTCGGCAAGACGAGCCTCGTTGAGCGCTTTTGCAAGGGCAGCTTCAACCCTTCCCAGATCACATCGACCGTCGGCGCCTCCTTCATGACCAAGCGCGTTGTCGACGGCGATTCCGACACTACCGTGCGCCTGCAGATCTGGGACACCGGTAAGGCTCCCCTCCTCCCCCGCGTGGCTGACCGGCTGGCCGCCTGCATGACTTCATGTCTGCACCTTTGTCCTATCCTTCTAACGCTCAAAAGCCGGCCAGGAACGTTTCCGCAGCATATCCCGCCTCTACTACCGCGGCGCCAACGCCTGCATCCTCTGCTACTCCATCACCGACGCCCAGTCCTTCGCCGAAATGGGCCTCTGGCTCAACGAGCTACGCCGCAACCTTCCCGCCGACGTCGTCCTCCACGTCGTCGGCACCAAGGCAGACATGGTCGCCCGCGACCCCTCCTTGCGCGAAGTCCCTTTCGAGCGCTGCATCGCCTACGTCGCCGAAAACCTCGCGCTCGGCCTCGCCTCGACGCCGCCCC